AAACTAGAAAGAACAAACAATCAATAATAAACTAGAAAGAACAAACAATCAATAATAAACTAGAAAGAACAAACAATCAATAATAAACTGAAGTTTGTTTTATTCTGCTTCCTTCGACTTCGTGTTTTTTACGATGATTTAAACTTTTGTTTGATTGGTTGAGCGTCAGAAAACTGACTCAGGTCATTTTGAGTCTCTTCACAAGAGCAGCAGGACATTTGACAGCTGTCTGTTTACCAAACAAATACATTTAAATCTTTTCCACTGATTAAAATGTAGAAATGTTGTTTCACGTGATCTTTATTCATTTAATAAGTCATATTTCTGTTGAGCCAGCAGTGTTCATGTTCACTGGAGGAACTTGGTCGATCTATTGAGAAGCAGTTGAAGCAGGTTGAACATTAGAGCTGGCACTTACGTCACAATCAATCTGGTTTGACTGAGTCGATAACGAGTAGTTCAATCAAGTCCAATTAGAAAAGCAGGAGTACAGATCATGCAATCGATCTCCTCAGTTGAGTTAGAAATATTAATGCATGCGTCTGCAGATGATCAGATTACAGCAGCAGAGAACGTGAGCTGGTCAATTTAACAGCATCAGTGGCTTTATTCAACATGTGAGAGATTTAAGTATGTTTACATTATTCCAGTGAAGGAAAAGTTTGAAGCAGAATCCGACACTACTGAAGGAACTGGAGACCAAAGCTTCAGACATAATAAAACAACATAAAAACACAACTTGGCTCCATCCTGCTCCTGTGGTGTCATCAAATGTCCACAAGCCCCGACATTAAAATTAGACTGGAAACAGAATCATTTACACCAAGTTTTAAATGTTTTAAACTGTGGTGGAGCACTTAACTGTCTAATCTTATTCATTATCTTCCAGTTACTGATGGTGTAGTCGCTCTTTCTTCCGCAGGTTGAAGACACCTTCAGCTGAGAGAAGATACTGAGGTTCACACCATAAACGAACATCTGACGATCGAAGACGTTGAACCAGAATAAAACTTCAACTGAGCAATGCTGGAAACAATGAGGCAGAGGCTCCGCCCACAGCACAAAGTTCCTCAGTAAGAAGTTGATCAGCATCGACTGACTTCATGACACTCAGTAAACCTGCAGCTGTGAATTCAATGTGTTCCTGAAGCTTTCTGTGAAACAGCTGTTCAAGGAGACGCAAACAAACATCTCGTTCAGAAATGGACCAATAGGAACAGAACAAAGATAGAAATACAACCACTGGAGCATCAATTAGAGGAGGAGGAGCTACAGGTGGAGGATTCTTCATCAATATGTTAACTACTGTTCTGCATTTGGACTTTTGGGGAAGAAAGACATGATGTGTGACTGTGGAGGTGATGGTCAGTCAGAAATGATGGGGACATGTTGTCTCTGCTGGTTATCAGGATCGTCCACTGGCTCAGTTGATGGTTCTTCTCTGTTGTGGAGAATCCCACAGTTCTGGGTCGACCCTGAGTCCATGAAGTCTCTGGATCCCATGATCCTCTCTGGCTCATCCTGCAGTGAGTTCTGTGGTTGCAGTGGATCCGGGGTCAACTCATGCTGAAGGCTTCAGACGATCTGCACATTGATGCTGTGGAAACACTGTTCACACAATCTCTTTGCAGCCAAAGCTGGAATCAAGTGAACCGACTTGTGCTTCATACGAAATCAATGAATTATTGCTTCGACTCTGTGCACGACAGACGGTTGCCTTGGAAACATGCTCAGTGTTGTATAGAAATATTTGTTTCCAAAAAACCAAAGTGCAAAACAGAGAATTTGTTCTAAGAGCATGTCCACGATGTGTCCCGTGGGAGATAAGAGGACAGAGAATGTTCAGCAAGACAAAACATCTCAAGACAAACTCCAGCTTAGTTCAACAAAACCTGCTTCACCAAGTATGTTGCCATAGTAACAGACTTAGTTAAACTGAACTGAAAACCGGGAGTTTCCTTTAACTAATAGTAAGACTAATAGTCAACTAATGCTTTCTGGATCAGGGCCCAGCTCTGATTCCTGTTGAATGAAAAGTTTTAGCAGTTTTATAATCTACCATCATCACGAAGGAAGAGTTTCTGCAGCTTTCAGTAAGTTACAAGACTTTTGAAGAAGAGAATGGAATTAAAGAATCATAGTTTAAGAAACAGCAGCTTCTCTCTCAGACGACAGACCAGCTGAGCGTCTGTTGTTTTATTACATTGAAAAACAACAACAGACACAAACTAAACATTTGTCTTTCAGAGCTGAATCTCTAAGTGCGATGTAGCGTTAAAAAATGAACGTCAACATAAATGTGTTTAAGGATCAGTGTGAAACTTTTGAACAATCTGAAGACGTCATAGAAAACCTGCAGTAAAAAACACACTTGTCTACACTACTTGTCCTTCTGAGTTTCTGACAGAAACTAAATGACCAAAAGATGAATTAATGAACGTGAGTTAAAAACCGGTCGCAGACCAGATTCACAGATTCAATCCAGGTTCAAGTCGTTTACATGTTTAGACTGTGAACCAACGTCATGTGACGACTGAGCTTTATTTAGCAGCTTCAGCAGTAAAACTACATTTAAACTTGTTCCAGAGTGAAACTGAACTTTGACCTTTTCACACCTGGAACATCTTCATGGACTCAGAAGGTAAAAGTCCAGACACTCTTTACTCCAGTAGAAATACAAATACTCAAAACTACTCGAGTAAAAGTACAAGTACTGATTGAACCTCTTTACTGCAGTAACGTTAAAAGTTTCCCTGTGAAGATCATTTCTATCGACTGTGTCTGAACTAGTGTGGAAATAGAGTTCAGAATATCTCACTTGCTCTGACTTAGATTCAAAGATTTGAGAATGGAAAGTGTTCCTTCATGAAGTCCAGAGAAGGTGTGTGACATCTTTGACTTTGTGTTGTTGTGTTACATCAGCACCGACAGACACACAAACACTTTTCTCTGTTGTCTGTTCGAGCTGAATCAAAGGATCAAAGTTCTGAACGTTCACACATTTGTGTTCAAACGTAGAAAATAAATATGAAGAACAGTAACCAGGTGTTTGGACTTTGTCACGTGACCTGAACATTCATGTCTGTTGTGAGTGAAGACCATGTGATCAGATGATTGGGACCAATAACCAGTCAGAGCAGGGGACTCAGTTCCAGCTGATTTATTCACACTTTCCTCCTCTGCTACAAAAAGAAACTCAGGATGCTGCTGCTGCTGCTTTTTCCTCTTTTCTTTCATATTGCACAAAAATAATGATAAAACACAAACACGTTCCGTCCATGAAATCAAAAACAACTGAAAATCCAGATTCTCTTGGGAACAAAGGTCCTGAACTTATTTTACACAACATGTACAACAACGTTTAAAACAACTGCAGCGGCTGTGAAGCAAGGCAGGAAGCGAACCGTCACACCTGAGTCTGAAGGAAAAGAAGGAATCAAGCGACACTGTGGAAAAATAGGCCTGAAAATACTGAGATAAAAAGATGAGGTATGTTCGGTTTGTCATGTCCCACAGCTGGAGGGGCGGTGACATACTCAAGTCAGCTCCGCAGGTTTGAATCCTGATCTCAGTTCAAAGTCAATCCATAAAACCCTGAAGAGAGAGTCCGTCTGTCCCCGCTGCCTGAGCCCTGAGGCCGGGCAGCAGCCTCGGGCCCCCCCGGTCCCTGAGCGGCTCTGGAGCTCCACAGCCCCGGGACACCGGGCTGGTTCCTTCCCCCGCCCCGGGATCAGTAGGTGAACACCAGGTCGGAGAGGTTGTCCTCCAGCCGGTCTCCGGCGATCATCTGGCTGAGCTCCGGGGTGCAGTGGTCCGGGAAGTCAAAGTGGGACCCGAGGCTGCCCTCACTGCTGCACGAGTCCAAGTCTTTGTCCACCAGAGACAGACTCAGGTTCCCCGGGCTGCAGGACGAGCTCCACGGCTCCGAGGAGGCGTGGAGCTCGGCCACGAGGCTCAGGGTGTAGTCGCTCCCAACTGCGGGGAGATGGTCCGGGTCCTCCCCGCAGCAGGGGGACAGGGGGGCCGGGTGTCCGGAGGAGCCGCTGCCCTGGCGGGTGATGTTCTTGAAGCTGTAGAAGAGGCGGCCGCTTCCCTCCGGTTCGGCGGAGCACAGGCTCCGGTTGTAGCGGGACGGATCGTCGTCCTCCTCCACTCTCAGCTCCGGTTCCTCCTCGGAGTCTTCATCCTCCTCATCATCGGTGAACTCCCGTTTAACGAGCTTTTTGAAGCTGCTGGTGAACACGTACCGGTACCGGGGGTCCGGGGGCGGCGGGGGGCGGCTGCTCGCTCTGCCGGGACCCGCCGCCGCTTTACCGGACTTTAACTTGGACAGTTTCTTGGCGGAGTTTTTCTGAGCGGGTCTTTTCTCCGGGGACTGAGCGGCTGGCTTCCCCGCAGGAAACGTACAGCCGTCCGTCTTGGGCTTCTTCTTGGGCCGGTACTTGTAGTCCGGGTAGTCGGCCATGTGCTGGAGCCGGAGCCGCTCCGCCTCCCGGATGAACGGGGTCTTCTCGGTGTCCTTCAACATCTTCCAGCGCTTCCCGAGCCGCTTGGAGATCTCGGCGTTGTGCGTGTCTGGGGACCGCTCCATGATCTTCCTCCTCTCGCCCTGGGACCAAACCATGAAGGCGTTCATCGGTCTCTTGATGTGACCGGACCCCGGCCTCAGCGGCTCCGCGGCCCCGCCACGCCGCACCATGACCCGGGATCCTGCTCCACACCTGCGGCCCCGGACTTCCACTGTGTCCCGGGGAAAGTTGTTCCGACAGGTTTCCGTGTTTGTCTCCGGTTTATCGGCCGCAGCGTGTCCACGGCTCCTCTTCATCCTCCACCATCTTCATCCTCTTCCTCAAACCGGCGGCTTATTAACCAGCTGATCATGGACCCCTCACTCCACCAATCAGCGGGCTTCCTCTCCACAACCTCCCCGCCTCCAAAGAGACTCACCAATCACAGCTCCGCTGCCCTCCCGTGTCCCCGCCCACCAGCTACCAGCCGTTACTGTCTTTATTTTATTTATTTATTTATTTTATTCTATATTTTATCTTAAGTTAAGCTACGCTAACCAGCTCTGAAGTTAAAATGCACAACATAAGATTGGTATCGATCTTCTCATCTC